TAGGTGTGCTCTAGCGTTTTTAAGTCGGTGATTGTAACCACGCCAATCCTCAAAAAACATTTTAGGACTATACTCGGTAAACTTTCGAAAGTGAGGTAAATTTTGGACGAAATGTAGTTTAATTCTACATTAAAATAATATACAATAAAGCAGTGTTAAGGTTGAAATTACATTGCGCAAGAGCGGCGTGTTAGGATTGAAAGAATTCGACGATGACGTGTAGGACAAGGTAGCTCAATTATTCAATCAACGAGCAATAGCACGGAACGCTGTGGATGCTGGTTTGACGTCCTGCCGTGTTGTTAATTTCTTTCAATGTAAAATCGATGTTTAATTTAATTAATACCATATCAATGATTTCTTACATTATTTTTGTTGTACCCAAGATCTTGTATAAAACTTTTTCTTTCTACGTAATATTGTACAAAACAGAAGCAATTTCGTATTTGTTTCAAACACGGTTTGAAGATCGCGCTTCCACGTATACACAAACACCCCGGGGCAAATTTTCGTTTATGTATCAGCTTTTGACTTTACAAAGCTAAAAACAGGTAATGTCGGAATTAATACATATCGTCTGTGAGTTGACGTATTAAAGCAATTTAAATATTAAATGGAGTCATACAAGCTATTTACTTTTAGATATGTAATTAAAATTGTACTTCGACTTTTGTCGCTATACATACAAAGTGATCCCCTCCTCTGGGGCTTAGGTCAAACACATTTGTGTGTCCGTTCCACAAATTAATATACGGGCAGATTGTTTTCTCGAGGTTCAAACCCAGGATATCTTGCGATTAAGCAAAGCTAGGAAACACGTTTGGTCATTTAGTTGTCATTTTCATACAAAGCTTACATTTGTCTTCAAATATATTTATTTGCAATATTGTCTACTTCGATTAATCTAGGTAAAACATTTTTGAATCTGAAAGCCTCTACAAAACTATTAATAGCCGTGCATATCGCGTAATTTACAGCGAAAAGTACTTGTTTCAAACAACTTCCGAATGTAACTAACTGGGGTGTGAATAGTAAAACTAGTTCCATTGTTAGCTAAATAGCCAATTAAATTTTGTAGCAGCCCCATTGTTGTGTTTTGTTTCATCAGGCGTGAGTTAATAATTCGAATGTAAAGTTTTTATGTGATATGTAGAGATATGTGCTTGTTGAAATCGGAAATAATTTATGTTAAATAAAGGCTGTTTTCTGTACTCCAACACATAAATACGCCTATTAATGCTTATCATTATTTCAAAAATGTATGCTTTATACTGAGGTAAAATTTATATGCAGCCAATTTTCAGATTGAAGCCATTAAAATATCTACATGACTTTTGCCTGGTTACGTTTATCTAATGCTGAGACATATGTATAATGACATAACAATATCAAAAAATTATAACAACGTGACACGTCTATAAAGTGGGAAGGAAAGGAAAAGGAGGAGAGGAATTTACTATATGGTCGGTGAAATACTCCAGCCATATAAAATCGAATCTAGATGTGTTGTCGACCTATTTCGGCTTTAAATATTCAGATAGAAAAAAAAATCATATTATTTTATTTTTCGTGCAGACCTAAGTGAAATCTATTATAGTTTTTAACATAGCATAACGAACGCAAAATGTTGATCTTAAATTTTTACGACACGCAGTTGGGACAAATCACAAATGCATTCCATTATAAACGGATGCCGCCAATTTCCAGCAAACATGTCGTTGAATTTCATTCGGTACTTGAAAATTTCATTTGAAATGACACGTACGATTGCCGTACAAAAGGTAACGTTACGTAACGGACGTTCAAGAATATCTCTATCACGTGTCTTGACTTTTCCGCAAAGGACGGAAAATGCATGTTAAATTTCTAGATAATTTCCCATACTGTATGTTTTGGCTTTTACTGTCAATGTTTTATGTACAAATAAATAAATAAGTTGTACTCCATAAAATACTTAAATACATTAACTGTCCTATTTAAATGCAAAAATTGAATTTTAATAAAAAAAAAATATCGATGATACAGGCGGGTCTTAAAACCAAGTTCCACAACATTGATTTATACATTTTGAACTATACATATATTGTGATAAAATCCATTTTCCCCCCTTAAATTCATGGGGTAAACGAATTTCTGCGAATTTCGTCATTTTATTTACAGGCAAGACGTTGATCAGATTTCAGTGCCCCGCTCGACCGAAAAAACCTATTGTTTCCCCAGGTTTTGAACCTAGGAGCTTTCGCGCTTCCTCTGGAAGAAAGATTCCACTTTAAACTATATAAAAAAATGTCCGCGACAAAGATATATGTCTATCTTATAAGTTTAACTTGCTTTATCAAGCGTTCGTTAGAACGATGGGACCCGAACGACGGGCGAGCTAACGCGACCGATATCGAGGATGTTACCCACTACGCTTAAATTCATAAAGATGAAGAGGGAGTTTGCAAAAACAAATTTGGTTGTCGAAAATAACTATTCTACGCAGACGAAGCCGCTGACACAGCTAGTATTAGATATAAATAATATATATGTCAAAATTGCGGTTCGCACTACCCAGTTTATAACTCAGCCAGTTTCGTCTAACTGTGCCATGCCTTATAACCTAAGCTATTAATAACAGAATTGAGAACATTCCATCAGCATTAGATTACCTACATTTATTCAGAGCAGGGCCACATCTAAACCGCTTATTCAGCGCAAATCACTTAATTAAACGTAAACGAACTCAAAAGCCATTGTGAATGAAAATTTTAAAATAGGAACTGTTTCAAATGAATTGCTTTAACTACATTTTACTTTCTTTTCAAGTCTCCCGTCTCAATAGGGCTTTTGAGCGAACGGATGATTCTTTAAGTCGACTTCTTTTTAGGAGACTGATAATAAATGACCTGATTTTGGAATGTGATTTCGTATTGATCGACGTAGGTCAGTCCCGGCTCTTAATAATCATTATTCATTAAATTTCATGAAATTATGGGTATGAATAAATATTTGTAGAAACCGATTTAGATAGAAGACATTTCGTCATGATCTTACTCTTATTTGAGCTACCGTGTCACGTAGCTCAATTGAGTAGTTGCTCAAATCTGTAAATGACGTACAATAACATGTAAAAATATGAAAGATTTCTTTTTTAAACTGGAAAAAGTCAAAGCACAGCGTTTAATGTTGTCGCTCAACTATTATGTTGTCGTGGTAGTTAAATTAGTTATAATATTGTATTTAGAATACGAACGAAACGAAATATGCGTTTTCATAAAGGACATTTCAATGAAAAGTGCATTTGAAAATATAGAGTGGGTTAGCTAATGTTGGGACATTTATTTCACAACATCTATGCACGGTATGTCAAGGTTGACGTTTGTCATAAACAGATTGAACCAACCTAGCCTAAATTGTAAAATGTAATTAATTTTCGAGTACATTTTACTTAAAAATATTTAGTTCTAATTTCCAACATATTCCACGTATTATCCCTCGAAAACCAGACAAAACAGGCATTAAAATTATGTCAGGGAAGCATTTACAAATTGGACGAAATTAATTAACAACTCATAAATATTTTATCCGCACCCGTCATTCTCGAATATGACTATTTAATTGGCTAGTTAAACTTCATGTCGGGTATTAATAAATTAATCTAAGTTCTAATCTCGACTTGTTAATTATGAAGCGCAAAAAATCGTTATTTTGTTGCAAATTAGGCAAATTAACGGCAAAACGACAAAGCGAAACAACCTACGAATAGCCTCGGAGTTCTCACAGGAGGGCTATAAACGTAAAACCGTCTACTATGTAAATAAATTTAAATAAAACACTATTTTAACGGTTTCAAATGCGAATTGTATTAGTTAACTAATTTATAATATATTTTAACTACCGACGTAGTGAATTATTTTAATTATTAAGTCAAACTTTAAAAACATATTGTAATTAATACAATATAAATATATAATACTCTATAGAATAACTCAAAAATTGAGCAGAAAACCGCCGATGTAAATAAATAACTAACAAGAAGCTACAGTGTAATACTGTATTTATCAACCTTAAAACTTAACTCATAAGATGTACTGAATTTTCAAGTACCTAACACCAGTCTGCTATTTAATATACGGCTGTGCATACTAATGAGTGGAGTTACTGTTTTGTGCTCACTTCGCGCTGATTAAAAACTTTATACTAAAACTAATTTAATAGTTGCGGTTTTTGTTCAGCTTCGAGTGTGAATATGGTTCAAGAGTTTCGGGGAACGACCTTACATGCAGAATGTTACGTAGCGTACGATAAAAACTAGATTTCCCTTTAGTTTCGAAGGTCACGTCAGTACGTATGGCTAATAACCAATGAGCCGTATCTTATACTACCTACTCAAAGTAAAGTTGTATTTCAGTTTCGAAAATAATTCCGCTTGTCCAATGCCAACATAAGTCGCCACTACATCTTAGCATTTCATTCACCACATTTCAATAACTCTTACACCAAACCTGAAACCAACCAAATAATAATAACGATTTTATCACTTCAACAAATGACAAATGTATCTATGACAATTTAGATTGATGTTGGCTTCGTTATAGTATTTAATTATATTTAAAACTCGGCCGATACATGGAAAGTCTCGCAGTATGGAAACGTGCGGCGGTCCAAGCCGAGGCCGATGCCCCCCTCGGGGCACCCTTGGTCTAGTCGCAAACACGGCGAGCGCTCACGCGCTCGCCCAAAACGTCCGGTTAGTATTCGTGGCTCCATAGGAACACAATACGTAATAATCAATTCAAAAAAAAAAAAAAAAAAGTATGGAAACTTACCATGCTACCTTTTCACTTACGGTCCCTGACAAATGCCACACGGCCTTAATTAAGGCTTATCTACGTCGAGCTCAGAATACATGGGAAGATTTCCTCTATTACTAAGATATTTTCTCGCAGCGTTTAACAAATGTTCACTAAGCGATGTGGGGCTGTGTGTAAATGGCTTAAGGTCCGATTTAGACGGTGATGGAGTGTGAATTATGCGTTATTAGAACGGCGAAGGAAGGTGCAGGTTAGTAAAAACCTGAAGTCATACGACAATATTTGATCATTTTGGTCTCTGTAGAGATCAAATATCATATATAACCTAAATAACACTTGTAGTGTTATTTAGATTATATTGACAGTTGACATTAGTGAGAGAGGTTTATATATATATTTTTTAATTATTTTAAATAGTAATCTATAAATGACAGGTAAATTAAACCGAGATCGAAAATATCTATCCCCTTCATAAAAATGTTGAAATAAAATTAATCAGTGACTTTTATTTCATTATTGTTATTATATCTCCTTATGATAATTAGTGAGATTTTTTTGGGTTTTTAAGGAATACATTAAAAACCGACTATGTCTTTCATTGTACAATTATTGTTTAAAAATTGCATTTATACATAAATTATATACTGCATCATACATCGATATTTTCTACTAGAGCGATGTAATATAGAGATATCACTCAAGCTATATCAAGATACCGTCGGGAAAATACGTGAAATATTTTCTCCCCGTAATATAAAATCCGTGAATTCGTATGTCATGCGTGATTACGTGACGCACATCAGTTCCCGGGGCTTCCGCAAAGCTATCACGAAACCACAGAGTTAAGTAGATACAGTAAAGAAGTTGGTCCCAAGATTAAGAACTTTGAACGTTGACGTAAAGAGCGTCTGTGGTCTCCTACTCCCAGCCGTTACGCTATTATACGAAGATATTGTTGTCTCTTTCACACTCTAAGGTTTAATTAGGTTTGAGACATTACCGTCAAATTTCACATTTGATCTAGCAGTAAACATTTTGACGTAGCGTAATACGTTGTGATGTACTACGCGACTTATAAAATTACTGTCCCACTAAATATTATTCTATACATATATATATTTATTATTGACGGGCACAATGGTAGTACTGTATGGCTTATTAGCCGGTTGTGAGTTCGACACCACCGGGTACAACAGTTTTATCAAATCTAATCAATTTTTATTTTTTTCTGAAACATGTTATTTCGTCTGGAAATCTGGATATTAAATAGCTGGTAAGAATATAAAATTTCAAGAAATAAAGAAATTTAGAAAAAACGTCAAGGTTAATCACGTTTTAGTTTGTCTGTGGGTTTCTGAATATTCAAAGATAAAATAGGTCGACAGGCGCATCTTATGAAGCTTACGCTTGTCTACCGTTCTATAAAATATCATAAAACTAATAATTGAAAATTTGGGTACTTTTTTGGGCCTTTTAGGTGAAGTTAACTATAGGATAGCTGGAAATGTATTGTTGAAATTCGAAGTAATTTTTTAATCCCAACTGTTCTTAACAACCTGTGATAGCATGTTGCGCTAACGAGAATGCCACTGACAGGGCGCGTCGGAATTGAGAATTGGGAAATATCAGACAGTACACCGATTGCAGATACATTATTTTATATAAACCATTTTAATAAATAAAACGGCCATGTGCGAATCGAATTCGCTCTCAAAATGCTTCATACCGTGAGTTCCAGATATTAGAAAAAATCGTTTCGATCCAATAAACAGTTATGTTTAACTATTATGTTTCTGTCGGATAGGTTAAGCGATGGGAGTATTATTGTAGAATATCCTCAAAAATTATATATAATATTTGATAATAATATATTTATGATAGCGGAAAAGAATGTAATACGATATCTATCTAACCTTTTAAATGGTCGTGGGTTCGATCCCCGCTGGGTCCAACATGTTTATACTCGTATTTTTTCAATTTATAATTTTTCTGACACTTGTTGGAATTCATCTGGAAATTTGGATATTAATTGTGTGGTAGGACTATCAAAAATTTCGTCCACGTTACGAACCACCGCATCTTGTGTAGATGTGTAAATGGCCAGGGTATTTCACGTCCTAACAAGTGATCGTCATGCCTATCTGCTCTTTTCTGCCACAAAAAATACTCTTTGCACAAAACCCTAAATATTCATATCTTAACTAGTTTCACTAAATAATTAATAATTCAATATGAAACTTTGTGCTCTTCCCAGTGATAGCGACAGCCCACAACATCACGTACCTGGAGGTGCCGCAATATGGAGATCCCCGACGTGATGCATACCTCGCGTGTCACTACGTGAAAGAGCAGGGGGACCCAGATCTTCACTCCGTCAAGTGGTATCGGGATAACAACGAGATTTTCCGATATACACCAGGACAACAGGTTTGTTACTACTACTACATTAGAGATTTTTTAGGTAGATTTATAATATAATGTAATATTTTTTTTATCTTCAGGGTTTAAGGTTTTTTGTGAAATCTAAAATAACATATTTTTCAGCACTTGTGAAAGCAGGCGTAAATAAAATTGACAATTTCATTAATTAATTCTTTAATTCTACATAATATTAATACATTAAATAACTATATATCCGCTTAAGTGAATCTAAAAGATCATTATTTTTAAGGCATGACGTACACCTCCTCATGCCGCGTGAAATGGTGACTACTTTTTGCTACGATAGAAATAGAATAAATATCGTTCACCTAAATAAATAAAAATTGGAGAAGAATTTAAGCATGCATTTTGCATCGCTTCTGCGCCGCCGTTCAACCGTTTCGCTACTTTAAAAAGTTATAAGGAGTTGAATACTGAAAAACTTGAAAGTGCTAACTGATGTTAGTGAATTTAATGCGCAGTCAGATTGCTACCTGTTGAGTGATGTTTTATTATATTTAAAACTTAGCACATTCTTATATAGCCATGATTTGAATATAGGAAGTTTCTTGAGTAAACAAAATATAGCGACGCAATTCATCTGGGGAACAAGAAATTATATTCGAAAGAAATGCGTTTAAATTATATGAAATAGTTTTACTACAATTGAATCTCAAGCGAAATGCTACAAAATTCGAGTTAACAAGTCTTCGCCTTAACAAGAACTTGGAGATGCGTGTGATTTAACTCCTGTATTCACATCGATATAAAGGCACAATTTCGAAGTGAATTTATCGGTTTATAGAGTCCTATTTGATTACAATTTTAATTGAAATAAAACACTTTAACGGTTTCAAATGCGATATATATCTGAAATATAGTTAAACTTATTTGAAATTTATTTTGACCACGGCTGCTGCAAAGTATCCAAACGTCGGGCCGTAGTTAAAATAATTTTCCAATAAGTTTAACTAATATATATCGCGTTTTAAACCATTATAGTGTTTTATTCTCGCGTAAACAACAGACAGTATTTAACAATTTATTTACCACTTAATTATTTTTATTTTTAATCAAAAAGGAAAATGATATCTAATAATGTGTATAATTATTTCAGTTATACACATATTTTTTTTAGTGTAGCACGCGGAAATGTAACGAATGAGATTTTAATTAAATCAATATTATTTAAACAAATATTAGCGGAATTTCCTTAAAACTTTAGTTTCAGTTCAAACTAAACCAATCTATATCTAAAATGGCTGACGAAGACAAAATTAAAATATTTATTAGTAATGTTTTTTGTATGATAGTATTATGTATTCTATCCGCCTTTTCTTAAATAACTTTTCGACCATTTAATCTGAAACACAGCTTGAATTCACCGTTCAATACATTATACATTCATTTTGTCCCAATTTACGTTGTGAACAGAATTTTTTATCACAGTTTTCCGTACAGCGCCAATGAAACTGAAAATTCAGTTATGAGTATAACTAGTGAACCGAGCGATTTTCAAATGACTTTTTTTCCTTCTACCCTTTTGTTCTAGGAAATATTGATTGTGTCGTTAATAAAGAGTTCTGTCTGGTTCCCAATTTTTTTATAATCCACTTTTACTCCATTCGTGTGTGGTGCCTTTGTAATGTGAAATGATACAGAATTTTACGCTGTTTTTTATTCTATTCTCAATAGATATTACCTAGATTACCTAATTCTACATGAAATACTTTTATTTGAATTTATTAAAATTTTAATTATTTTTTATAATAAGTCAAAATGAACTAATATACTAGTATTTCGCGTTTTTAACAGTTAAAAGTGTTTTATTTATTGATGCAAGGCGATTTGTATATATGTAAAAATAGGTATGCAATCTTAGTGCTAGCCAAAATAAAAGTGTCTTTACTAAAACCGAAAAACGGCTATGTTATACATAAATCTATCAGAAAATTTGGGCGTCGGCTTATAGTGTTACTTTATAAAACTTTATCAAGTAATTATTTACAGCCTTCAACAAGAACGTTCAACACAACGGCTGGAGGCGTGACCAGGGGTATATGCGATGAAAACAAATGTTCGATCAACGTGGTACTACCCAAGCGCTTCAATACCAGAATCTCATTCACTTGCGAGGTCTCTACAGAGGGTCCCCGGTTCGCCGTTGTCAATCAAACTAAATATCTAACTGTAGCCGGTATGTGGATTTCTATACGTTTGTGTCAATGTCTTGTTTCTTCTGATGACGTCATTCACTCGAAAACCTAAATAGCTAGTTAATTATTTTAATGCCAAATGTAAACAAAACGAATTTTGATAAACATGGTACATTGATATTGTCATCAATCACGCTAAGCTACGTTACATAACATAACAGCTACAATCTAAGATTAACATTTGGCGACAATTGACATATCGATTTTTGTTATAGTGACGCTGAAAGAAGACCCAGTGGTCTCCGGATTACCAGGCAGTGTGCAAATCGGAGAAGATGTTTTGCTCAACTGTTCGACTGGCCCAGCGATGCCTCCAGCTAACATCATGTGGTACATCGACGGTAGACCGGAAAAGGTTAGGTGGAAGAATGTTCAGCAGATAAGACCATTGCGCGGTTTTAGGGGGATTGCAAAAGAGGGTTAAAGGAAATCCATAACATTCATATAAAAAATAACTAGGTTAAATACACTTACAGATGCCTTAATGTTCCACGGCCCGAGGCTATACGTCCCGTCCTCGACATGATGAAAAAGGGTGGGGCGATTACATTTAGGCTTGCGCAGATATTGTCGGGGCATGGCTGCTTCGGACCACAACCTGCAAAGGTCCTAAACGGGAGTCTTCTCACGGCAACGTACGACCTTATTCAGGTCATAGGTCTCACACATGCTCGTGTAGATTACGCCTGGAATGCGGTAGCCACCTTCTGCGAGCTGGTGATTGTGCAGAAGGAGGCGGCTGAAAAAACAAGAGAGATGGTTTCTAATGGCCTAGTGCGAGAGGCGAGACGGGGATCAAGGAGGCGACTATCCACCTCCAAGATCATCCCTGATCTCGCTTTCGCCTTGCCGGAAATGGGCATTGGTGCTGGGAGCTTTGGAGTCGTACAAACGTGTTCCCAGGGCTCCCTCTAAGCACCATAGAGGGCTGGTGGTTGTGTAGTGGTTCGGTCGGCAATAGGCACACTTGCCCGACGTGGCTGTATAGGCTTCACACCTCGTTTAAAAAAGGGCTAAATCTTATTAAAATCTTAGGTATAGTTTATTTTCAAATTAAATAATTTTAAGTAGAAAATTTGCTGAACTTTTGCTGTCACTTGTTACCTCCAAGATATCTACCTTATTACCATCAATCAGAGAAAATTAGAAGTACAAAGCTTTGTGACACATAATATATCTACGTTTAAATGTTAGATTGAACAATGGATGAATGATCACACCGAAGTATCGACAGCCGATGACTTCGGACTACGATCCAGCTGGAGGCCGCTTCGGTTCCGAGTGACGACAGTCAGAGGAGCAATTGGCCTAACATGCGAGGCAACACAACCAACTAGGCCTTCTTTCACGAGATCTACAAATGTTACGCTCGGTGTGGCCCGTTCACCACATCTATCTATGTTCACTGCATCAGGTATAAAATATGTCAAGTTATTTTCTCATACAATGTTCATAAAATCCTATAATTAAACTGTTTATGAATGGATGGATGTTGGTCTTTATTGGGGCCGAACGGTCTTATGGCAATTTATAAAATTAGGAAGGTAAATTAATGGAAGCTTAAGATTTTTTTTGAAATAAGGGTAAGGAAGGTAGGTAATAATTATTAATTCAATATTTTATTCTCAGGCTGTATCTTTTTTTTAATATTAATAAATTAATAAAGTGATATTTATGATAATTGAAGGTGTTTTCAAAAAAAAAACTACAAAACGGATTGTATTTTTAGTTTAAGTTAAATAGAAAATATTAAATTTACTTTTAATTTTTAAAACTATCACTCCGTCTTTATTGAACCCAAAACATTTGATGAAAAATGCAGCAACTGATATAGTTTGTTAATTTAGTAAACTGACTTCAAATATACAACTACCTACATCCACGTAACACATGCAACTTTTTCCCCTAGTTGGGGAAAAGGGTCTGTGTCTAAAAGGAAAAACCCGGTCTCTAATGCAAATACCAGGCGCACATAAAATAGTGGATACGAACCGGAACGGATTATAATCACCTGTCATCTTCAGTGCAGCCGTGAATATGGCTGCCGTGGAGTTGATAAGTTGGCGAAATCTAGATTGTGAAGAATAATGAGGCTGATTTTATGACATAGTTTCTACAATCAATATATATATATAATACCCATTTATATAATACGTATTTAGGTTAAGAAAACTATAATTCAAACCAAACTATAAATGTACATTTGAAACTACTTGTACACTTTTTTTATCAATAGGTATCATATAAGATTTAATTCAATTCAATATCGTGAAAAATGATTTTAAAATATATATATATTTTTTTATTAATATAATGCTATCTTATATGATTCTTATCATTATATTCTCATCTTATCTTATATCCACAAATGTCGTACTTGGCGAAAAAGTAAACAAATCATAAACACAAAAGAACGGTGAATTGTTGCCCATTTTCATATTAATAATTTGAAGGCATAAAATTGTCAGACAGGATGAATGATTGTCGAAATTTCGGTGGACAAGATAAATAGTACTGGTCCGGCCGATCTTTGCTTTACAAGGTCGAGGTTAACGGCATAAGTTCTTTGCCAAACTCAAAGATTTTATTAGAATACTTAATCAGATTTTTGGGGAAATTGCGAATTTAATTTCGTATTAACTTTATTTAGTTCTGGAAACGTTATCGTGGTAGGAATTTTAAGTGGTTCTTTAATATAAATCGACCGTCAATTGTCGATAAGGCGTCTATTTAAAAAAAAATATAACAAAAAATTTACCTTTTATCAAGAAATAAAATCAGTTTTATTAGTCTCATGTAACTTTAAGATTCGATGTCGACCCATTATGAAAACGATATGATAATTTACACCTCAAAGTTCCCTGTCTACGGGTGGAAATTTAATATTATTACTATTTATTAATTGTCCACATTTTTAACTACCATTTTAATTTATCATATTTAGAAAAATCTAAAAGTAATTTAGAAACATATTGCACTCGGTAGGAATTGAACCCACGGCTTGTTGGTTATTTTAAGTTGATATCTTTGAACTTAAAGTTGGTGAAACGTAGACCCGTTGTACTTTTTATAGGCACCCTCCACCTTTAATTACCCTGTAACCGCGGCTGCTCCAAAGGATTCGAAACGTTGGGCCGTAGTTAAAATAGTAAATTAGTTTAACTAGTAGATTAGGAGTTTCAAACCGTTAAAAGTATTTTATTTAAAAAAGGAGTCGATTTCAACTATATTATTTTTTTACAGGTTCGTGTCCCAGCAAAATGACGGCTACCACGCTAGCTCTGAGTATCTTAATACATATTTTTTCTAAACACAGTGCCTTGAGAGATCAATAGTCGACGTAGTCGGCATTAGGGGTGTTGGTAATGTATAGATAACTTTAAGTAAACCACGGTACAATCGTATCCGGTATTTCGAAGAAACGTCTTGTGTAAATACTTGATATTGTTGTATATATGAATAGAAAACATTCCATCCGCTTGTGCATATCAATAATTTGAGAAGTTATTTTAAAGGAAAACAAATGGACAGCAAATAGCGAAGGAATTGATAGACACATAAATAACAAGTAGATTAAATATATATTTATTTATAAATTAAATTAATTGCATCATTTAATAGGGTAACTGTACTTTAAAATTTTTTAAGTATATTCTTAGTTACGTATAATTTGTTTAAACTTAATTCAGACAAACAACAATATGAATGTAAAGAAGATATTTGTAAATAATATAAACAGGCGTGGTTTGCTGAAATTCCACATGTCTATTTTAGACAAACAGGTACAATTATTATCGCTGTTTGGTAGATAATACTACATATATCTAAGTTATAACAATATTCATTTTTGGTATACGTATAAAGTTATATTATGAAAGATTTATAAAAATTAAAAGGTGTTTGGCGTTTTATTATTATCGATATGCACAAGATTATATTTTATGTACTTAGCTTTGATGATTTAGTTTATAATTACTTATAAAAAGTACAATGAAAGCAAATTAATTTTCAGTAACATAAAATGAGAGACTGGCTCATTTCAAAAAATACAGTTATCAATATTATGGTTACGTTTTCCTCAATTAGGCCCACAGAAATATCGCTTTATTTTCTATGCTTTTCTTAAATTTTTGGGACTGTTTTAAAACATAAGGGCTGTGAATTATACCATTGAATTTGGTTGCTAACACCTTATTTTTGAGATCGCACAGTTGAAGCCATACGACCAGGTGTCTTTTTAAATTTAGAACAGCTACGACTTAATCCTGTTTTATGTAGGCAATCCATCGTTTGCGCAATATGACTGAAAAAAGACAGCTGATGGCTTTTATTAATTCAGCTGTCATTTAGATGTCGGCCTATAAAAGAGACAACATGAACTATTCAAATTAAAGTTAGCGGCGTATGTTATCTTCGCTGTGCATGGGAGACCACAGCCTTACATTTTATATATTAAAGTAGGTATTGAAAGCTTTATGTGGAGTCCAAAGTAAACTCACTAACGGGTCATCTGGACTCAACCGTGCGTACCTTGGGATAAATTGTTGTATGTTTACGTTTTACGGATGGAATCTTAAAATATATGGTCTAAATGTAATTATTGAAATAAGAAGCACTGAATTTCAATGTTTTATAACACTTATAATATTTACATATGTTACGGAAACGATATAAATGTCAAAATTGAATTAATATAGTATAGGGGTATATTACAAATTTATAGATAATAATTATGTTAATTAAAGTTTGCAACGAAGTATTATTTTTGGCGACGTCTTATTTACACAAAGACACCCTTTCACAATACTTTTTGCTCATTGCGCTGCATAATAGAACTGTCCCAATTTTAACATTAATCAGAGAAATATTTCTGTTTGAAAGGTATTTTACATTTTTAATATTTGCATACAACGATTACCAAAAAATGTATAGATCGATCCAGTAACATATAATGTACCGGCCTAAACGTTTGTGTTATCTTAAAACACCTTAGAACTTTAGTGTTGAATTTTTTATATGCTCATAAAAACAGCATATTATTCTATTCAGTGAAAATTAGACTTGCCTTATATTCTCTACTTATGAAAAATATTACTTTTAATTTAATTAACGTAATTTAAATACGAAATTTACAAAAATTATAATTGGCAAAAGTACAAACGTGATCCATGTTACCCGTCTGCGTTTGTGATGACAAGAGTTTGATTCTTGGGCAACCAAAATATTTTATCTACATATGTGACATTTAGTAAAAGACGACATCATAAACTAGAATATTCCCATACCGAAAGTTCGTTTTACATACTATTATGTGGACCGTGTTCATCGTTTTCACATTATCAATAATCATTATGAACAACAAATTAGTAACAAACATTAGGTAATAAAAAATCTAAATTGGCGGGCTTCAAATCTACAGCGTAGGTATCGTGCCACTCCTCAAATTAAAAAATAGAAAGTTTTTAGAAATATAAAAAATAAAAAAAACAAATAAAAGAAACTTCCATTTTTTCCAGAGTGGATTCTCTAAAGAATAACCCTAATAGCACTTTAATATAAATTGCCCGGTGGTTCCTCTGTTTGCGTTCTGGACTAATTTTCAAATGGATTTGGGAATAGCTTGCGAACATTTAATTTTTCCCTGAAACTTTGCTTGCACTGCGCGGAAATGTTTCTCAAATTACAGGAGAATTTTTTAATTTTACGTGCGAACACAAAAAAATGCTTCCCGCTAGATATTCTAGTAATGAATTCTCACGAGAAACTGAGTATGTAAAATAACGTATTCCTATTCTATATGGAGTGTGTGCATAACTACATACACTGATTTCTTTATAAAGTAAATATTAATTCTAAAGTAACTATTCTTTTATATCGAATAACTAGCAACAAAAATAGTAACCACACTTTTTTTAAGGTATTAAATTTGAGAACATAAATTGTTCAATACATCCCCAATAATAACCATTTAGAGGTATCCACAAGTCGCTGTTCACATGTAAAACTAACGGTTGCGATCTCAGAAAAATAATCATAATTTCTAAACCCAAATCCTCATTATATCCACATAAGACGTTGATATACTTATGTCAGAAACTCAAAGGAGACATTTCCCCCTTAAACCTGTTTCCATAAAGCTCTGTTAATTTCCTACGAACAAAGCGCTTTATTAAAAGAAAAGGTTTTACGCTCCTTGTTTATCGTTAATGGCAAATTGAAAGTAACTGTATTAACCTAATATGCCATACCGCTGAAACTCAACTACTGAAAATTAAGAGAAACACAGTTTCATTAGTATTTATTCAAGTTTTTCCTAAACCGAAACAGGTCATAGAACCGATTTTCGGGGAAACATAATTTTTAGTTTCAACTGGGCAAAATAAGTGATGAAGCACTTGTTTTGCACGAAGATTTTATTATTTTAAAAGCCCTCTAGTGTATATCATTTGCGCTACATTATGTTGGGTATAATCTTATGGTTAAAAATTAAGATCATAAGACTAACAAACTTTCGCTATAAATAGACAAAGGTAACAATAATTTCATTTTTCTTAAAAAAGTTATAATATTTTGTCTGTAGGTATTCATATTTTTGTTCAGGATTTTATATGCTTAAATATTTTCGGATGTGCCAAATTTAAACACTTTTAAATACCCATAGATATAGCATAATTAAAGAACAAAATGAATGTTGTAAAAAGTATAATTAATTATATTTCTAATAATAATTGTACTATTGGAGATGTGGTTTAGCTGAATATCAAAACAACGCAAATATTTGAAAGGTTTGTTGACACATTTGTTACAACAGGGCAAATAAAAACATATATTAACTATGTTTTTGACACAAAATATTCATTAATTGTGTTTTTTAATTATATCCATAGTCTTAAAGATACTTTGTTTAACTCGATTTAAAGTAAGTAAGAGTACAAATTTAAATAAAACACTTTTAATGGTTTAAAACGCGAAGTATATTATTTACATCAGCGTTATTTATATCGGAC